GGTTATCCAACTCGTGCATACTGGTTATCCAACTTACTGGATATCCAACTTATTCTGTCCATCAAAATTTAGTTATTTTTAAACTTAAAAAAATATTCGAAATGGATCTTGTTGAATAAATCTCGACGAGTACTATAATTTTCATCCATAACACGTTCTCTTATTCTTTACGGATTATGAGATATGATCATTGAAAGATTGGAGATGTTTTTTTTGGAAGAGAGAGAAAAAATGACAGGGACTATACTTGTAAAATATAGAAAGATTGATAAAAAGTACAATAAAGATTAAAAATGCAAAAAATAGGAGGAGGTACACGGTGCCCCCGGGTATACTTGATACATCCTCCATGAAATAGTGTTGACGAGATATTTTATAATTTATTATTCCGGTGATAGGACAAATATTGAGAGAGTTTCTTAGGGGAAAAAAAGTTAAATTGTAGGAAATTTTTTTTAGATAGTAGTATGAAAGAAAATTTTGTAGAGGTTACATATATATGTGTGTATTTTAACTTTTGAATATCATTATTGTTTTAGTGTTGGTTTTGGTTTTAGAAAGATAAACTAAAGTACCAATTAAGACTACTATTTATAGTTTATACTTAGACCATATCTACCCTATTTTAAATAAAATCAAAATATTTAATTTCCTTAATTTACTTATCTAACCAAATGGAAAGCATAAGTCCGGTCCAACATTCGTCTCCCTCATCTCAATATTTTTAGAAAGTAAAACATTCGCCAAACCTCCTTTCTCACTAGCTGATTAATTAGCATCATCGTCACTATTCCCTCACATTATCATTTCCAAGCTTTCGCATGTGCTAGCAATAGACTAAAGATTAAATAAGGGCTAACCCAAATTTAATATATGGAACTTTTTCGTTGGCCAGAGGTGCTCAAGCAGCTCCAAGCCTCTATGTAGTTCCGCCCATGGCAGGATGCATTACAGATGATTCCTACTTTTGCAAGTTTGAAGATCGAGATATTAGCTCCCTGTTATCTCCGTTTCTACCATGATTATTTCACAGTTTTTCTAGTCCCTTTTGCATGGAAGTTAATCCACTAAATTAGAATACCCCTTACTGTGACCTTCACCAATCTTAAGGCTTAGGGGTGCCATGATCCAGTAGCAACACATTACACATCGCTTGAATATAATTTTTTGGATCCAGAAGTTCTTTCAGATAGGATTACAACAATGAAAACTGCAACTAAGTCGAATCCTTGCACTATTTTTCTTGTGCTCCTTTCACGGAAAAATTGGCCGAACTACCCAAAACTTTGGATGTGTTGTCAATATTATCCTATCCTCTTTTGGTTAGCCAACATTACCCTTATCTATTAAAACGTCAGTCAATTTTGTCTAATTTTCTCAATTTTCATTAAATTTAACGAATTCTGATAGTTTTAATCACAAAAACACGCTATAGTTTCAAAATTTATGTAAATGACTCCAAAAAATTTATATAAATAACAAAATAGTCTCTTTTTTATTTTTTATTTAATTTTTTTATTTTTTATTTCTCTTTATTACTTCTTATAATCATAAAAATATACTATAAGATCTTTAAAGAAATAATTATTCATTTTGACGCTCTATTGTACAAATTTATATCTATATATTTATAACTCATGGTTGATTTATATAGACATATTATTTTTTTCAATAATATAATTTATTAGTAATGATACTATTTGGTTGATCCGTTTTTTTCCTTCCAATTATAAAGAATAAGAATATTTAAATAAAACTAATTTTCCAAAAAGCAAAATCACAAAATGTTAAATGATCGCAAAATGATACAATACTATATTCTCGTGTTGGGTCAATGGAAAAAAAATAGAATTTTTTTTTAACTTTATGTTCGTACTTAGCCTTTTAAAAAAATTATATTTTATTTTAATAATTTCTTTGAATTGTATACTACAATTTATAGTATGTTTAGTTAAATTGTGGTTAAGAAAGTCAAATTTTTGCAATGAATAGGAACAATACCCTAACACATATAACAATATCAAAAGGCCAGGTCAAATTTACAGCAAGTAGAATATACATAACAATATAACAGAGGCAACTCAGTCGCAATGAAAGCTGGAATTACATATATGAAAATGAAGAGAGATATAGAAGCTCCCAGTTCCACATAAGTCATCAACAAAGGTCTAAAACATAACATTTAGATACAACTAATGTGAAAAGTCTAAAATATATGAAGCAACAAAAAGCCATCAACAAAATATAAAGGATGTCCCCAGTTCTACATAAGCTAGATAACTAGTTTCTTTCAACTTCACTAATCTATCAAGTCTAGAGTCTCCTAATCCAAGCGAGTCGATGTTCGCGTGACAATTTCATAAAAATCCTTCTCCTTGCAACATCAGTGAAAGCATCGCTTGCTTTAAGAAACAAGTCCACGTCGTCGATGTCTTTTTCGAGGTCATATAGAAGCTCTATGCATCTCTTGATCGAATGCCCCTCAAAAGCCAAGACTCGGGCTGCTTGTGCGTTATATCTTTTCCCCTTTGCAACTGCAGCTTCTGTAGCAGCCTCCCAAAACTCATCCTCTTTTGAATTCCCCTTAGACATTTTCTTCCCTCTCGAGTCTCCCTCTCTATTCATATTACTATCCATCTGCCTCTTACCACTAGACTTGTCACCATCTTCATCCCTTATGGTTTCTGAAACATTCGCATTAGCTTCATGAGCTTCGCTAACTTGAATTTGCCCCGTTGCCTTAGCATATGCGCCAACTGAACCAACACTGTGAAATATCTCTATGAACTCATCGTTATATTCTAAACCATGTTGCTGGAATTTCTTGTAATTCTTGTTTGTCTGCAGTATCCATTTAAACGTATATAGTTATACATATAAGTGCAAGTGTAGAATAGTTTATTAACTCAGGATATTTTTGATACATTACCTTGATTAACTCTTTCCAATGTTCTTCATAAGCTGTAACGGTTGGACATTCTGTAGGCAATCCTTTGTTGGACTCACAGCCTAAGTATATAACAAGGCAGAAAAATAATTTCAGCCAGATAAATAATTTCACTAGAGTTCATCATTACTTGTATAAGACTGCCAGTAAAAGCTTTCTTTAAAAACAGAACGACAGTAATTTGACTAATTTTAATTTGACAGTAATTTGACAGCAATACACGAAACAAATACTGAGAAAAATTACAGAGTCTTTAACACAACATTCCATTTCAGAAGATCAAAAACATACTTGACAGTAGGATCAGCCCCAACAGCAAGAAAACGGAGTACGAAAGGCAGGGCCTGGACAGAAGAGGGCCCAGAAGCAGCAGTACTGTGCACACAAAAACATCCACATGGTTTCAATAACTAATTACAACAGAAGCCCTGAGTGTAACCATAGATATCAGAACTATCTCTAAGATTAAGACACATGAGCCAAGAAAATTCAACTACATGAATAGAGCATAATTCGAAGATAGACTAAACGCTGAGCAAGTGAATCTCAGCAACCATGCAAGGATTTCAAATGAAGAGATGAAAATACATAAAGGACAATTTCCAAGTGGCAATTTGAGAGACATCTATGTATACTATATGCACAGAGCCTAATATGTTTGAAGACATAAAATCACCAAAAACATATGATAGAAATGATGAAACACGATCAAGACACTGTACCATCAACTTAGTTCCAAATGGAAGACTAGACAGTGATCTACTCAAAAGTAGGATAAGATACCCAGTTCAAAGTTCTTTTGTAACCTAAAAATATCTCATTCTAATCCTCATGTAAAACCAAAGACACTGCAATTAATTCCATAAACAAAACAAATAATGAACAACCAGGTTTCTTTCTTCCTCCAAATCAAAAGCGATTCTACCACATTTACTACTCCAAAAATGACTAAAATGCAAGCAATCATGTTAGCAATAGCCCCCCCCAAAAAAAAAAAAAAAAATCTGCCAACTAGAAACCTAAAATAAGATAAACATACTTTTGGTTCTATGTAAAACCGACTAACTACATGCAAATTACAAAATACCTTCCGATTAAACCTAATTACAGCAAACAAAACCAAGAAATATGACGGCGGATATAGGGCATGGGCAAAAGTGAGAAGGGAACGTTTTCTCCTCTATATTCATTACCCAAAATTTTCATAACCCGGATTATGACCCGCGATTGGAGTTGAAAGAGTCTGTTTCAAAAATTTGAAAAATACCCCTTACCTATTTTCTGAAAAGTCTATTTTAAGCCTTCTTTTTTTCAAAATAATGTTTAGAAAAAACTTTAACTATTTTGTCCAAACGCATTTCAAACTCTAAACAGACTTTTTAGCCTTAAAAGTCTTTTTAAAACTCTTGTCCATATGGAGCCTAAATATTGCTCGTTGGTTTTCTCATCACCAATAGAGAGTAAATAACAGTGTTATCCTCAATTACGCACGAAGATTTTTTGGATATAAGAGTATTATGATCAAAGCACGATTTTATGGCAACAATTACTATCATTACCTTTTTTTCAAAAAACAAAAAAACAAAAAAAGGCGCTGCCTTATTTTTTAACATCCTGTAAATAAGACTTATGAGTGCTCGACTTCCAAATTGTCAACAACATTTCTCAGTTTTCGTGGCGCATGAGTTCCCCTAATCGAACATGTCTTCCCTCTTCAAAATCATCCAGAACCCGACTGATCAGATCTCCTTCCTCCAGCCTCCTTCTTCTTCTTCTTCTTCTTCTTCTTCTTCTTCTTCTCAATCCCGTCCAAAACGAGTAAGATCACAGGAGAATCACGCCGGCGATTGATAACGGCCACCGCCGCCGCCACCAACGTCAGAATCCGCAACCGCCATCGCCTATCACGAAGATCTCCTTATCGAGATCCTCCTCGAACTTCCGCCTAAATCCCTCCTCCGTTTCCAGTGCGTCTCCAAGGCATGGCACGCCCTTATCTCCGATGAATCCTTCCGCCGCTGCCACTTCCGGACTGTTCGGAAAACCCCTACACAAGATCTTCTATTCTTCAAAATGTTCGGCCGGGAAAACCGAGTGGATTTCATCTCTCTTGGTTCCGAAGGAGTGAAATCGGTAGGTACTCTAAATCATCTTTTAAGGAATGATTTTCTTAATAATGGTATCATTGTGTCGGCAAATTCTTGCAATGGTCTTTTGTGTATGCAAATCGAGCATAGTGATCAGGATCTGTACTCAATTGTTGTTTACAACCCCACCACTGGTAAACACGGATCGATTCATGATCCAGAAGGTCCCTATGTGTCATCATTCCTGCTTTTCAGTATAGTTTTCGATCCTGTTAAATCGGACCATTACAAAATTGTCCGGGTTGGTGGGTACGGATTGAATCACACACTCATGGTCTATTCCTCTGAATCTGCGAGTTGGAAGGATACGGAAGGCAATGATGTCGATGTGACGGGTCGATGTCAGAATTGTTTTTACAGTAATGGGTTTTATGGAATGGTGACTTACATTTTATTGGTTCTAAAAAAGACTATTTATGCTTCGATGTGGAAAATGAACGGATTAGGCTATCCATGACCGAAATTCCTATCAGCGTAGTCTGTAAAACAGGGTATGCTTGGGACACTGAATTTTTTGGGGTGGCCGGTGGGGATTTGTGCATTGTGATCCCAAACGATGCCAATTCACGAACCTTCAAGTTTGATATATTTGCACTGAAGAGGGATTATTCTGAGTGGGTTTTGAAGTATCGGGTTGATGTCGCGCCTTTGACCGATGTGTATCCTGAAATTCGGAGAAGTTTGTGTGGGTTTGGTCTTCCTTGGTTTGCTGTGACTGCAAAGAAAGCTGTGATTAAGATTTCGATGGAAATGAAACTTATTTCTTGTGATATCAGCAATATGGTGGTTGATGAACTCGTTGAGGTTGAGGGTCAAGTGGAGGGTCTTTCTTCTGTTTACAGGGGGTATGAAGTTTTCCCGAATGTTGAATACTTTGCGTTTGTCTAAAGTGGTCATGAATCTTTGAATCTGGCAGACTTGTTTGGTCTTTAGACGTAACGAATTGTTGATGGAAATCTTGGATTCTGTGGATTAGCGTTTGGAGTTCATTCTGTTGCTCATATTGTAAGAAGGCAGTGGCTTAATTATTGTGTTAATTATCGAATCGTTAGACTCATGCTGTAGAAGTAAGATGTTTGGTTTCTCTATTTGTTGTCTTTTGTCAATTCCAGCAAATGGATGAGTTGCGTGAAGCTGAAGTTAAAAGCTTCGAGAATAGCATTTTTTTTAAAAAAAAAAATTAGAAATTGGAAATAACTATATGTAATGACGCAATATATCTTACGTCGCAACGTCTCTTTGTAATGACGGAAACAAACTCTTTGTGTAATTACAAAGATAAAGGTGCGTGTGCAATTGATCCCTTAGACTCCAACTCTTTATGTTAATGTTGAGAAATTGGTTGAAACAGTTGAAGGGGAAAGGGAAAATAAAACCAAATAAAATTTATTGGCCTTCTTCTTGCGAACTCTTAGGCTTTGTTTGTTTCCTTTTCTTGATGGTACTTTCAAATTAATATATTAATAATTGTCCCATCCAACGTATCTTTTTACATTTTCAATACACTTTTTTACATTCTCAATACAAAAAACACTTAAAAATATATACTAAAAAATCGAAACAAACAAACCCTTAGATAGCTTCACCTATTATTACACGAGGTTTTATGGAGATGATGATACTTAAAACTTCAGATACTCTGACTGTGCCTCTCTTACTCAGAGTACCAAAGCTCCTATGCCGGCACCGGTTTAATTTGACTTTATGGTCGGCTGGAAAAGTGCAAATTCGAGAAATTACGACTTGTGCAAAAGTACAAGCACCAGTTTGCTTGGCTTGCTCAACCTCGCAAATCGAATTTGTAGGCACCTTTTGGACTTTACACAAAACCAAGTCTTCATTTCCTACTATTTACACGATAAGTCAGCTCATAGAGTGTAATTTTATTGAAAAGAAGTACAATTAATTGCAAGAAAAGTACCAAAAAATTGCTACTTATCTTCATTTGATATCAAATATTTAAAAATAAACCGCGCGCTACTAGAAAGTTAGAGAGTGTCACTAATGATTTTTTTGTTAGGGTTTTGCTAAAAAAATAATGGTCAGCACTTTTCACGTGAAAGGAATGTGTGTTGACCAAAGGGTATTTTGGTCTTTTCAAATTCCAAATTTAAAATTTTTAAATTTCAAAAAAAACCTAAAAGTATTTTACATTTTTCCTCCTTTCTTTAATTCCCACGATTTCCTCCTCTTCATTCCTTGGGCTCTGCTTCCACGCCGTCGCCAGAACCGCCGCGCCAACACTACTTTTTCTTCCCGGACTTCCCCTTTCTCATTAGCCACCCTATCAAAATCATCCCCCAAGAATCCTCCTCTTCCGCTTCACGGCAACAGGAGCCGCCGGAGTCGATGGGCTCGTAGGCCCGATCTTCTTCTTGGGATCTGCTGCCTGTTGGGCTTTTCTGATGAGCTGCCTGCTTCGCCGGAGTTTATCGACGCTGCCCTCGATCCGGCCTTGGAGATGGTGGCGCTGGAAACTGAGACCGCCCATTGACCAGTGAGCCTCCCCCGCCCACGACATAAACAGATGCGTAACTGGAACCGATGGGGAAGAATTCTTCCCCTGTTCTCGTTGAAGACACTAATGCTTCGAAAATCCCAGAAAGATTCGTTTTTTATGATGATGCTGATGATGATTGGAAGAATGATGATGACTTGAAGATGATTATAGTGATGATGAATATGGGTATATGACCCAAAGATCCGGCCCGGATATCAGAGGATACCGGCTCCTCCACCGGGAGTTGAGAATGCCTATCTGAGACATTATAATCGTAAGTTCCTAATCAATCTCTCTTTCGAAGAACTTCTTTTTATTTGTTTCTTTAATCAGTATTAAGTTACTTCGTTGATTTTTTTTCTTTTTAGTTCTTACCCTTGATGATATATGCTGCTACTATGATGAGTATGATTCTGATTATCATCTTCAAAAAGCAATCCTTGAAACAATTCTAGGTATGAATACAAAAAAAAAAAGAAAAAAGAAAAACAATCCTTCACTGGAAAGTTGAAATTCGCAATGAGGCCTAAAATTATTGTTTCAATAGGTATAGAATTGTTCCCCATTCTTTTCCCCTGTTGAAAATTATTCTTTTGATGGCTGTAAAATTGCAAAGTAAGAGCCAAATGGAGATGGGTTCTTCGGAGAACATGCTACGGAGTAGTCTTAGTCTCTGCAATTAATTCCGTCCACTACAAATTAGGCAGCGGCGGCGGCGGCGCAACCCGTTTTCAACATGGGCGTTATAGCACCACCAGTGGCAGAGCAAGATTGTGGCATCAGATCTGGAGTTTTGGCTTGTTTCTGAATTGAATCAAGTTAAAAATCTGGAGTTTTGGCTTGTGAAAACTCAAAACTGTTGGCGGCTCATTTCTTGTTTTTGGTTTCTCCATTTTAATTTAGGATTTTTTCCCCGGTTGAGTATAGTTCTTAATTTTCTACAATTTTATGTCCATATTGTACAAAAAACTCAGATTGTGAACATGTAATATGTTTGCACCGGTGGTGTTAATTTTGCAGGAATAAGGTAGGGGGAAAGAAAGCCGGCGAAAGATATAATAATATTTTATTTTATTTTTAAAATTTAAATTTTCAGCCAAAACTAACTCAGAGGGTAAAAAGACGATTATACCTTTTGGTGATCGTTACTTTTTTAACGGAACCTTAATAGAAAATTGATTGATGACACTCTTTATCTTTCTAGTGGCGCGTGGTTTATTTTTAAATATTTGGTATCAAATGAAGAGAAAGAATAATTTTTTGGTAATTTTGATGAAATTAATTGAAAGAAGTATTGGTTTTTAAATTACTATTTCTATTCAAAAATTAGTCCCTACTGAGTTTTAATAGTCGTACTATTTTTAGTATCAATCTCAAAAATGAACGGATTGAAGAAGAATAAAAATGCACGATAGAATTTGTACTAGGCAAGCAACAGTTTACCTTGCACCTATCTTTTCATCAGATCAACTCCCCAGCTAGGAGAAATTAAGCCTTGCTCCGGTGGTAAAGAACATGTGTAGAATTTATGTGGAATGAATTAGACTCTGGTAATCGGTTAATAAGGATGTGAAACTCAAATGGTATCAGTTTCATTCTTACCAAGGTCACAGAATTGAGGTTGTACGAATTTGATACCTACTAATAGCTCTTCTTCACCGTCAACCAAGCTGAACTTATTCAACTAACGACAGTAATTTTTTTCTGAAGTACTATTATTTTAGATTTGTAATTTTAACTTAGTTTATTTTACTATATCATTTTTACAGCAATGATAGAGACAGTAACAATTTACAGTGAAATGTAATAATAACTTGTAGAAAGATAAAAGCGCCATCCCCACAAAACATGTGTGTACTAATTAAAAGTGAAAAAAGTAATCTCGGTGAGAAATAAAATTTCAACCGGAAAGTGGTAGAAAAAATATTATAATACTCCACATCAGTCACTATTTCTTTTAATAATTTTTTGCTACTATATTTATCATTTTTCTTATTTTTAATTCAACAAAAATAGGTTTTATTTTTCAGGAATCAGTGATTATTTTTATACAATCAAACAAGAGTGTCAAGTAGAATCACATGAGAACGAATGAATACTATTTCAAGAACTCTAGATAGTCACAATCCAGTGAAATAACATCAACAATTCAAATAAATAAATAGTAATACCCGTAAAAAAAATGCCTATATAATAAGTACTTGTCATTCTTACCAGCTTTGGCTAAATTGAAACTTTTAAATAAATTCAGGGTGACCGAATAACAATTAGTACATTATTAGTATTACAATAGGTTTGACGTATTTTTATTAATCAAACCTTTGTTTTTTGGTTATCCAAACTGGTGAAGGAAAAGGGCGGGAATTTCATAATCCCAAATCCCATAATGGAAAGGTAAAACGAACAAGAAAATCCTAATCCTAAAAATCACCGTTTTTGGAAACTCAATTTCTCTATAAATACAACAACTTCCTCAGAAAGCCTTATTCATCATCGTCCATTGACTCCATTCCCATCCTTGTTAACATAAAGCAGTAGTCTCTCCAAGGTTATCGGCTTCCATTACTATTAACTTCTTGCTTGTCATAAAACAAGAAGATAATGTCGGTATCCGTGATGAAAAGAATCCGATTGTTTGGGTCGAATATTGACGTGCCGGTGACATTGCCTATCGGCGGTCAGCGTCCTGATGAAGTTAATTTCCGGAAAGAACTTGAACAGTCGGATATTTCAGCGGGTCAAAGTAGGCTGTTTATACCCGACAATTTCTTGACAAAAGAAGAAAGGGATACCCTCAAGGCCCTAGCAATGGATCAGGAGAACCAAACAGCGTCAGCATCGTCGACACCTTCTTCTTTCTTGTCTCTGGCGCCGTCTTCATCGTCATCATCATTGGAGAATAAGAAAAAGAGAAAGAAGGCGACGAAGAAGCCGGGAATGGATGTCGAAGTGAAGGACAGCGAAGGGAGGAGGTTTAAACTGAAACTGACTTATTGGTCGAGCGTTGATAGGTTTGTGTTGAATAAAGGATGGAATGAGTGCGTTCTGAAGAATGAGCTTGTCAAAGGTGATGTCATCAAGCTCACTTGCCGTGGACGTCGTCCTGGGGGACATGATGATTTTGACGGCAAGAACAACAATAACAACAACAATAACAACAACAACAAGAACAAGACAATGGTGTTGTGTCTTGGATTAGAGATTATTATTAGAAGAAAACCTCGACAAAAAATTTAGATTTCAGATGATAAAACGATTATCTGGGCAAAATAGTTATGTACAATCGTGATAGGTGGATCAGGAAGATCAATATGCTTGAATTTGTTTATGTTGGGGCAGAATGTATTGGTATTATTGTTATTTCCTTGTTATCGATGTTTGTATGGTTTCTTCCGGTATCCAATTGGTTTCATTGTCAATTTCGTAGTTCAAAAGTTCCTTGTTTCTTGGCTTCTTTTAACTGTACCCTCTTTTTTTATTAAATTACTCATTCATACATAACCTAGAAAAAGAGGCGTATATGGAAGATCAATTTATTTGAATTTTTTAAGTTTTCGGGCAGAATGCAATATTGATGACTACTAGTTTTGTTGGTCTGAAGACTGGAACTTAATTAGTTCCCTTGTTTTTTCTTTGTTTCTTCTTGGTTTCTTCAACTACCCTGTGACTTGTCCCTGACCTGCTCTGTCAACTTCACCACTCTCAAGGCTTAGTGCCACCATCCAAAAGCACCTCTTCAAGTTTTGTGGTTCTATTTGGATCCAGGAGTTTTTCCACGTGGGAAAAATGCAACTCACTTCTATCCTTGCACTAATTTTCAGCTCTTTTCAATGCCAAATGAATGTGTAGTCCGCTTACTGTAAATGTCACTCACTTATTACAAACGCGAGAACATAGAGCAGAGGAACACAATTGTAGTAGACAGATCTAGTTCCTCAAAGTTTGAGCTAAATAAAAAACTATTAGCCGACATATGTTGTTCCTCCAGGTTAGAGCTCATTCTACAAGTCTAAACAATCGTTTTTATTAACTTCACTACAACTTTAACAATGCATCTTCTAAAGTCCACCTTCTAGGCAACAAAATGGAGTATTTAACACTGTTCCATTGAAATCTAATGAACAAAAACACATATGATACGAAAAGGACAGGCAGTACCATACAAAGCAACAACATTCATACAAGAGAAATTTTCGGCATGTGCGACCACATTGTTGGAAAATACTACATCGTCATTATTCTACGTAGAAGGAATTATAAGATTTAAAAGTTCAGATACATATGTCTAACAACAAACCAAAAACTTTCAGTTACAATATGACAAACCAATTAAAAAAGTACCATCTTTCAAGTATACCTCCCAGCAGGGAGCTTAGAAAACTTTATATAAGTAACCACTGACCAACCTCTGATCAATATCTGAAGCTAAAAATTACAATTTGCAACATAACCTAAAGGAAATATCCAGCTCCAGTAACTCATATAGAGACCATGATGATGAGATCATATAAGACAGAAAACTTAAGCAGAAGTAAAGGTCTCAACATGTTCGAATGCGCCCGACCACTCAAATATGGACCTATTCTTCCATTCATATATGGAGGTCTCAGGATCAGCAATCTCTTTCACATTCATGTTGTGCATATTACAGGAAATTATTTTACCTGGAGCTGATATCAAAAAGTTGAGTGGTTTTTGTTTCTCAACCATGATGCAACTAAGTATAGAGAAGTTACAAACCGATCCCTATGAGGATCAGTCTCTCCAACAGCCATAGATGGATACAAAGCAGGCAGAGAAGAAAGGTTAACACAATACTTCAGATTCCATCCCAAATAATCCAATTCCAAATTGTAGACATCAAATATTAACGAGGAAGGGTCCGTTAGGCCCATAACGCATAGATCCTCACTAGAAACACCAAAGAAGAAGATTTCTGGCCAATACTTTTCCTTCTCTCGCCTAAGCGAAATAATAGCCGTCTGAGGCGAGGCAGGAAGTCTCTTCTGTAGCTCATTTACAAAATCATAGCAAAAGGTTACCCAACGCGAATCAACCCAAAAGACATTTCCATTCCAATACACACTCTTTCCAAAATAAATTCGTTCTTCTTCAGGCCTTTACTTAGACGAACGACTTTTACTCCAAATTCGAGTGTCAGATGCATAGCAAGCGAATCTAATCTTCAACCCATTATCCCAAATGTATAGTAACTTATAGTGTTCAGATTGTAAAGCAACAAATGCAATAATCAATGCAACAAAATGAGACCGGGTTTGAGGATAAATGAACTGGGGTAATGGCGGAATAAGCCTAACACGAAGAGTAGTCGGGTTATACACAACAAAATTAATATCATCCCCAATAATTCGAGCCCAAAGCAAGTGCTACTAACCCATTGCACGGATGAAACCCCAGAATTCGAGAAACATCGAAGAAATTAGTCAATTGAGAAACAATGTAATGCATAGAAACCACATACCCTTCGTGGCCGGAAATGAAATTAAGCTCCGGCTCACCATCAATACTCTGTCGGTACAAAAAGTGGGCACCAGTCCGCCTCCGCAAATAGAGACGGCGGAAATTGGGTTCGGAGATAATCGCAAACCACCTCTTAGACACGAACCGGAAATGAATTAAGGATTCCCCGGTAAACGAACCAAGATTTGTGTCGGGAGAACTTCGTTCCCAGCTATAATCTCTGCCGCCGATTCTATGGATGAATCAAAATCTCCCTCGTTGATGGGTCGGGTTTGTAGGGTTCGATTGGAAGGGGAAATCGGTTGATGGGTGTGCCAGACTAGGGTTCTGGCCATCTCCGGAAACTTCTGACTCTTTGGGAGGATGCTTCTGATTCTTACTAGTCCGCGAATTTAAAGACCGAAAAAAAATGACTTAAATTAAGATTCTGAAACGTATTGCCAAACTCTACCATTCAAATTTTGTTGAATGTATTTAAAGTCCTCAAAGTTGAATAAACCCTTTTTGTTATCGGGTGGATCTTGTAAAATGTATCAAACTTTTAAGGTTAATCTTAGTGGTATAGTATGCCACTCTTCGTCCTCCTTGAATAAAAAACTTACTAACACAAAGCATCATCATCATTAGTTAAATATTATTGTCACGAGAATTTTGAAGTTCACTCAACTATTTGGCAGTTCTATCATTGTTGATTTAATTAGATAGTGATAAATATATTTCTTCAAAACCAGCTCTCTTGTTTTTTTAATACTTCCTTTGTAAAAGATAATGGTTACGAATCTCTTTAAACATATATTTTTATTTTAGAGTGATGAATAAGAGGAACTGGTTAAGATTGCAATCAAAATCTTCAAACTGGAGTCCGAGTGTTTAGTGCCACTTTTATGTGACACTAGTTAAACGAATACATGTGTTTTTATTATTAATGCTAGCACTCTAACCAAATGGTAAGTGAACCTATTTGGAGAAGTGATGAAACACGTGTCAATCATCTAAATAGTGTCGCACATAGTATAACGCAAAAGTGTTACGAAAAATCTTTTGCCTTCAAATAGTAATTGGTAAGGCTAACGGTAAAATGTATTATTTCCGTTCTTAAAAAATAATGCCCTTTAAGTTATTGTTTTAGTTTGACAAAGTAAATTATCTTTATACGAATTATGAGACCAATTGTGTAATTTCACGAACCTTAGGGACCTCTATGAAAGAATTTATTCGTTTGGAAATGTCATGAACCCTAGTCCCTCTATCCCTCGGACACACAGACTCACAGTGCAGTTTAAAGAAACCATTAAACCAAGAAACCAAGTTGGGAACTGCGCAACTGACTACAAAATCAATTGGACTAAGGAAGGAAGAGGTATGCAAAAGAAAAGAAACCAAAACAAGTGTGAATTAGTCATTCAAGAGAAACAGAGATAACAGGGGAATTAAAGATCTCAATCTTCAAACCAACAAAAACTGCTACGCCTACTAACCATTAATAATGCTTTCTTTCCGAAAACTTAAATTCAGACAAATTCATCTTCCTCATGCTCCTACTTTTCAAGGTTATGTATGAATAATTTAACAGAAAGGGGACAGTTAAAATAAGGCAAGAAACCAAGAACTTTGGAACTACATGAGTACTTGACAATGAAATTAATCGAACTGCGGTAGGAAGAAGGATGCAGCAAATGAAAGAAACCATTGGAACAAAGATTAACAGGGGAACTAATAATAGTAATAACACAAAAAAAAACCTTGGAAATCAGTCAATAGATTCTGCCCCAAAATAAACAATTCCAAACAGATTAATCTTCCTAATCCATCTACCATGATCGGATGATCCTACATAACTATATCATCCAAGATAATTGTTTCATCATCGGAATTTATGGTCGAGGTTTTCGGCTAATAATCTCCATCCGAAGACACAAAACCATTTTGTTGTCGTTGTTATTGTTGTTCTTGCCATCAAAATCATAATCTCTCCGAGGGCGACGCCCTTGGCAAGTGAGCCTGATGACATCACCTTTGCCAAGCTTATTCGTCTGGACGCACTCATTCCATCCTTTATTCAACACAAGCTTATCTACGCTCGACCAGTACGTCAACTTCAGTTTAAAACTCCTCCCTTCGTCGTCCTGCACTTCGACTTCCATCCCCGGCTTCTTCGTCGCCTTCTTTCTCTTTTTCTCATTCTCAGATGATGATGACGACGAAGACGGCGCCAAAGACAGGAACGAAGAAGGTGTCGACGAAGATGCTGGTGCTGTTTGTTTCTCTTGATCCAGGGCTAGGGCTTTCAGGGTATTCCTTTCTTCCCGGGTCAAGAAATTATCGGGTATAAACAGCCGGCTTTGACCCGCTGAAATATCCGATACTTCTAGTTCTTTCTGGAACTTGACTTTATCGGGATGCTGATCACCGACAGGTAACGTTACCAGCACGTCAATATTCGACCCGAACAAACGGATTGTCTTCATCACGGATGCCGACATTCTTTCTTGTTTTGATGACTCGAAAGAAGAAATTAACAATGGAAGAGAAAATCTTGGGGGACTGCCTTATGTAACAATGACGAGAGAATTGAGGATGAACGATGAAGAATAAGGCTCCATGGGCGAGTTTTATTTATAGGGAGATTGAATTTCCTAAAAAACTTTGTCTTTTTCCTCTTCACTATGGAATTTTAGACCGTTCGGGATTCGGATTAGGAAATTCCCGCCTTTTCCTACACCGGTTCGGTTAACCGGCAAAACAAGGCCTTTCCACTCGAATAAATCAATAAACCAATAAAAAAATTGCCAGAAGACCCATCATTTTGACCAACTTTGACTTCATGGAAATTTTTTTGAATGCATTCCGAGTGATCAAATAATTATTGAAATACAGACGGACGTATTGTTATTAATTAATACCTGCCTTTTCTACTTCAATTTTTCGGAGCATTTGCTTTACTTGCGCTGGTACCACTAGTCTAACACCACCACCACCACCACCACTATTATTATTATTATTATTATTATTATTATTATGTTTTTTAGTTATGTAGGGGGGCAAGGCCATGGCCTTGGCCATGATTCAAATTTAGGGGAGATTGATGTACGTACCTGGCATGTTTTCAAATCTATTCTTATTTTTATGGATTGCTAAACCGAGTTATGGTTTGTCTGAAAATTGGATTGGAACAGGACCAGCCTGTTCTGCATTTTCTGAAAATTTTCAGTTCTGAAGTGCTCTGTTTGTGTTCATTTTTGTCCCTTTTTTGGAACTCCTTTTGCTGATTTTGTTGCTTAAAACTCTTCCTTGTTTGTCCTACTGTATGATGGTTTTGACAGCCTGCAAATTAGATCCTTAGTTCGATCGTTAACATGCTTTGAATAGGAACCGGCTACCCGACTTTGCTGAATTTTCAGAACTTGAAAAAAGAAGTTGGATTTGAGGTTTTCGGTTTCCTCGACTAAATACCTTTTCCTCTCATGAATTTGATCGCTATAATTCTTAGGTCATCCAAGTATATGTGGAATCTTTTGGATTACAAAAACGACATGGCAATTCTAAGAAATTTGTAGTTGGAACATAAAGATTAGAAAATCCTTTTTCCTGAAACTGATATAATAAAGGCTAGTCTTTTGTTTCTAACACGTTTTGGATTTTTCATGGCACTCTCAAATTTGGTAAGGATCTTTTGCATTCATAAGAGAAGTTTGATAAAAAAAAAAAATAAAAGCACGTACCCATAGGTTTTATTCTTATAAATGGTGTAATAATGCTATCATTGCTTATTTAAATAACAGATTTTCCGAGTGATCGTATGAGATTTGAATGCTCTCCAGGTGAGTAACCTCACTGCAAATTAATTCCCTTCATGAAATTGAATATGGGAAAATGACCATGATACTTGAATGCCAATGCAAATTAATTCCCTTCATGAAATTGATGACCGTGATACTTGAATGCCTCGTTGAAGTGTATTTGCTTGAATCTTGAAATCTCTAGGAATTGAATTGCATAAAGAGATGCCTGTTGAACTACTAGTCCGGGCATGTACTTTATCGCTCCGGTATTTGACTTGCTTGATTATGTGAATTGATTGACTTTCTTGATATGTGGTTTGATTGATTAGATTTTGTATCATTGAATTCACTTTTCTTGTGTGACCCAATTGGCTCTAATGTTGATATGTCTTGTTACAGAGTGCTCAGTAACTAGAGTATATGAATGTCTTCATCACTAATATGAATGAACGACGGAACTTGAACGTACTTAATGCAGTGTTAAGTTAGCAACTTGAGTAAATAATGTGTCACAAACTTGATTGAATGTTATTGCTCGAACTCAAATGCTCGTTACTTGGACCGAAGCGTACTTTATCATTTTGGAATACTTGTGCATGTTTTTGTTCGATTGTAAGGCCGGATCCACCCCCTATAGGGAATCGAAACTGGCAAATCAGTAAAGGGCTCGTTCGTCGGCTAGAGGAACTATGGGGCCTTCTAGATGTGCCTGACAAGGTATATCGCCCCACTGTTATATCTGTTTGGACGTGGCTGACGAATGAACTACTAAAAATAATTATTGAAAGTACTGATATGTTTCTCTAACTCATTCTGAAACTTGTTATCGTAAAATGAAATTGGAGTCTATTAAGAAAACCTTTCCAAACGCCACATGGGCATGGGCTGGCTTCTAAATCACTTCCTTGTATCCTAACATCTTGTTGTTACTTGTTGGGTTTTGTGCACGGGGCACTTGGTAATAAACTTGTTGTGTGTAATTGTTACATGGAAATTGTTACATGTTCTTGATTGCTCATTCATGACACTTACGGCACTATTGAACTCAGAGCATCCTAAGCATGCTTATTTTGTCATGGCCAATGTTTCTGTTTAAGCCATTTGCATGTCATCTAGATTGAATATTTAGGAATGATTAAAGTAGACAGCCTTCCCCAATTACTTGTATTACTTGGAACTTTAATTATTTGTTTGCTCACCAAGTTAACAACTCGATAAGAGGTGAGGTCTCTCTGAGCTTGCGTCTTACCCCAATTGAACACATTTTTTTTTTCACTCTTTGCAACTCTTTGCAGCAACAAATTTTGGGCATAGATCACAAGATTATGATGGAGTTGGGAAGTGACTTAAAGCCAATATTTTGTTTCTCATTATTGCTGATGATCAAATTATCATGAAGAATTAGTTTATGAAGGTAAAATCAACTGTATATTTCTATTTTCTTTTTTTTTTTTGATTTTGGTCAGAGTGGAAAAGATAAATGGTTTTTCTTGTCATGAACCATTGTTGCTTGCTACTTGTTTGATAAAATGCCAAAGAGAACTTTGAATGTTTTTCTTTCGATAAGCGACTTGTGTTTCTTTTCATAATTTTGTTTTTTGGTATTTCTTGTACAGTGAGGCAATCCGTAAACCTCGCAACAGTTGAACCGGCCCCAACTCAATTTTTTTCGTTGGTTTGCTTTGATTCAAGGTATTATTTTTTGATCTTCAAAAACATAAGAATAATAATTTTTGAAGAATTCCTAGCAACAAGAATTATTTCCTGCTCATGAATATATGTAGCACATTGGAGCTGTTTTAATGATAGTGAATGGTTTTATGTTTTGATGCATTCTCGTTTCAGCTGTAGCTCATTCATAGTAGCTTACTGATTTGTATTATGGTTGCTTCTATTCCTTAGAATTGAAGTGTTGCCCTCTTTTCATCGGCCTTAAATGTCTTACTTTTGAGAAGACCATCACATGAATATATCAAAAACCTCAAGTTCATCCTACTCTTGAGTCTGTCTCTGAAATTAAGTGTTAGTTTTTTTTCTTTTAAGAGAATCTTCACATGAATCTATCAAAACCTCAAGTTCATCCTAAAACCTCAAGTTCATCCTACTCTTGAGTCTATTTTTGAAATTAAGTGTTAGATTTTGGAAACTCAGTGTCAAAATATCTTTCCTTCAGCTAGATGCTGGAATAGCTCAGACGGTTAGAGCATGTGGTTGTTCACCACAAGCTCGGAGGTTCAAGCCCTCCTTCTAGCGCTGAAGTGTAGTTTGCATGATTTAATCAATAAAGCACGTCTAGGTGTAGCTAAAGGCCATCCATTCATAACAACAAATTTCATTATGCTTGGCTCTAAATAAGCAATATGTTGGAGGTTTCCAGTTTTAAACTTTGGTAGCTGGAAAAACAAACTCTTTTCTCTCCCTCAAGACAAATGAATGAATGAGCTGAGTAATTATTACAAACACAACTACTTTATATGTTTGTTCTATAAAAAACTGATCAAGCCCAGAATAAAGTAACAAACTGCTGAATTTTGAATCTCCAGAAAACTACTTTACATTCATCAATCAATTACATGGCTATAAACAGCATCTTCCAGCCATGTTTCTTCCAATTGACTTCGTTGCTCTTATTTATTCTTCTTGAACATGTAATGCTAAAACACCAGCAACTCTTTATCCTCTTGACATAGCCTGTAAAAACAAAAAACGTTACACTAATTTTATCACCTACATAATGACTATATGATATTTAACAACTATATTGTAATCATGAAGTACATCAAACTAAAAGTTGCATACAAAAACTTAAAAGTCAAGAAGAGAATATCTTAAGGACTGAGAGTTTTTTTTGGAAAAAGAAAAGTAAGGACTGAGAGTTGTTTACCTCATAAAACTAGTTCTTTTTCCCAAGGCATCTCTGTTTGTTGTGTCCTTTTTGCTTGCATATACTACATGTTCCTGTAGTTTTGCCTTCTTTAGAATCCATCTCATTATGTAGCCTGCTTGACTTTGGACGCCCTTTAGAAGTTCTTTTCATTGAAATCTGAGGAACAAGTTCCATTCCTCCACTTGGAGGCCAATAAGCCTTGTCAGGAATCGGATGAAAAAGGGGCGCCCAAGTGTTTTTATATGTGCTAAGAGAGTACCAATCCTGAATAAAAGTTTTGTAGTCTAAGCTACAATATTGACATGCAACCAATACATATGAACAAGGGAAACCATGAATCTGCCACTTTTGGCAAGAACAATTATATTCATTTAACTTGACCACTTGGACACGACCACCTTTTCTTCTATTTGTTGGTGATCGACCTGTTTTGATGCTAAACGTTCCATCAGCCCGATTAAATAAAATCACTTCATGGCCACCAGCCTTAATGCCATTGGAGATCATCTTTCCATCGACAAGAGGAGTGAATGATTGTCCACTTTCTGCCCTTTCAATCCCTAGTTCTCTTCTTATAGAAAAATAGTTGTTTATCCGATAAAAGGTAAGTTGAACCAAAGCTGTTATTGGTACTGAGTGTGGACCTTTCAACACATTGTTGAATATCTATGACAAATTGGTGGTCATTATTCCATACCTCTTGCCACCATCATGTGCTAATGCCCACTTCTCAACTTCTATATCATCCAACCATTTTCTAGCATCAGGATTTATTCTCTCAATAGTTTCCATTCTTTTGTTAAACTTAGAAACCTGATTTTCATTTGCAGCCCAACTCACAAGATCTTTTAATGTTCTGTCATGGAACTTGGGATTAAAATTACTAGCTAAATGGTGGCTACAGAAACGATGATACGCAAATGGCTCAGTCCATCCCAATTCGACTTGCTTCATTGTTGCAATAATCCCTGCATGAAAAAAAAATCATGCGTATACAGACATGAAAATTAGTGTTCTAACACATAACACAACTCAAAATCAACAATCATAATTGTCCTTTAATAACCAAAACTAACAATCAAGATTATTGTACATCTTGCAATAAATATTTGAAATGGCCACTTTTGATATCATGATTGTACCTGGATGGCGATCTGATATTACACAAAGACCTCTTCTTTGAGTCACAAACTCTCTAATGCATGACATGAACCAGCCCCAACTATCACTGTTCTCACTTTCCACAATTGCAAAAGCAAGTGGAAATAATTGATTATTGGCATCAGCTGAAACGGCAATGAGCAATGCTCCTTTGTACTTACCATACAAAAATGTACCATCAATGCTTATGATAGGACGACAGTGCCGAAAACCCTCTATTGAAGCACCAAAAGCCCAAAACACGCGATTAAATGTTTCTTGTGATAAATTTCCTGGAGCCGTCTCCTTATCCCAACGTACAACTGTTCCAGGATTTTTCTGCTTGAGAATATCCATGAATCTAGGCAATTCTTTATATGATTCTAGCCAATCACCAAAAAGTTCAGCTATAGCTTTTTGCTTTGCCAACCATGCTTTTTTCTTAGAAATGTTGTAACCGAACTTGTCTACAATTTCAGCTTGAATTGCTGTCAATGTTATTGACAACTGAGCTTTCACAAGTGCTTTGATTTGATCTGCTATAAACCCGGAGTCCAATTGAACATGATCTTGATTTATGATAGGGTTGACACAAGTATGATGCCCTCCATATTTTCTAATCTCAAAAATTGAAGTACCTTTGAGAACAGTAGCTCGCAACCTCCATGGACATAAAGGTGCTTGCTTACACTTAAGAACACACAATTGAGGCGTAGAGTAAGCAACTTCATATTCTTGATGCAGCTTGATGGAAAATGCTTTCACTGCATTTTGTAAATGTTCTTTAGTTGTAAACCTTCGGCCAACATATAATTCATCATCATCTGTTGGGGCAGCAAGATGACCATTGGAAATTGTTGCATCTATTTTAGCATTGTTCATCCCTTCAATATTAGTGAAATGTGGAGTTGGTGCCTCTTCAGCTGACAAATCAAGGGGTTCATTTTCTTCCACCTCTATCTCATCATCAGACTCTAACAGATAATTATTTATTTCCGTACCATTAATAAACAAGTATTCTGCTTCAGCTGCAACAATTTCTTCAACTGTAGATGTGCAATTGACTTCGGGTAAGCCATCATCAAGTGCAAGATCTTCATGTTCATTACGATCTTCAATTGAATCCATTTCCAAACTTTGAATACTCCTTTGAGATAAGAATACCTCTCTTTTACGTTGGCCATGATTTATTGTTCCCTCCATGACATTACAATTTTCCTCGATGAGTACCTGAGTAGATGCTTGACTAAAAGTTTTTTGACGACCTCGTATATCCATGTCTGGCCTATCTATTTCCAAATAGATTTCCAAACAATAAACTCCTGGTTGTTTCGTGGCATCTAATACAATATTCAAGGTATCATTGTCTTTAACAAGCAAAGCAATATACTCTTTATTTGAACTTGGATATCTACAAATGATTTTTATGTGAACTTGTTCCTTTTCATCGCCAGTGATAGCATATATCTTATGCACCAATTCAGAGTATTTTATCCGAGAACTCACCTTAATTGCTTTTGGAGTGGCGCCTTCATAGGCTAAACCGTGTAAACCAGTAGCCATTCTACCATTCCAATAACATAGGAGATCGATATTTGCATCGGTCATTATTAGCCTGTAACAACAGAGATTCTAAAGAAATCAATTTATAAAATAACTCAATTTCCATAGATAATTTAAGGCTACTGGAATTCTAGATTAGAATACAACAAAGACTATGATGATCAAAAGTTACAAAACAAAAAATCATGGTTACTTACTTTTGATGTATTTCTTTCGCAGAAGATTGTTGCAGAGTACGGCCGAATCAAGAGGACTTAGTAAAAGAAAACGGCAGTGGCCCTAATCTTCAATCTCTCTCAAACGTTGGAAAAAGAAAAAGAAACAGAAAAAAATCTTTGTAAAGGTTGAATTACTGAAAAAAATGGAAACGTGGGATGATTAAGAGAAGGAATATGATTTTCTATCTACTTTCCATCATTGCAATTAAAATTATGACATGGCATAATTAAAATTATTGAAGGAATATGATTTTAGTTTAGGTTACTTATGGAAATAGTTTGACAGATAAGGTTATTTAAGAAAAAAACTCAGTTTTATTCTTATAAATGGTGTAATAATGCTATCATTGCTTATTTAAATAATAGATTTTCCAAGTGATCGTATTAGATTTGAATGCTCTCCAGGTGTGTAACCTCACTGCAAATTAATTTCCTTCATGAAATTGAATATAGGAAAATGACCATGATACTTGAATGCCAATGCAAATTAATTTCCTTCATGAAATTGATGACATTGATACTTGAATGCCTCGTTGAAGTGTATTTGCTTGAATCTTGAAATCTCTAGGAATTGAATTGCATAAAGAGATGCTTGTTGAACTACTAGTCCCAGCATGTACTTTATCGCTCCGGTATTTGACTTGCTTGATTATGTGAATTGATTGACTTTCTTGATATGTGGTTTGATTAATTAGATTTTGTATCATTGAATTCACTTTTCTTGTGTGACCCACTTGGCTTGAATGTTGATATGTCTTGTTACAGAGTGCTCAGTAACTGGAGTATATGAATGTCTTCAACACTAATATGATTGAACGATGGAACTTGAACGTACTTAATGGAGTGTTAAGTTAGTAACTTGAGTATATAATGTGTCACAAACTTGATTGAATGTTATTGCTCAAACTCAAATGCTCGTTACTTGGACCGAAGCGTACTTTATCATTTTGGAATACTTGTGCATGTTTTTGTTCGATTGTAATGCCGGATCCACCCCCTATAGGGAATCGAAACTGGCAGATCAGTAAAGGGCTCATTCGTCGGCTAGAGGAACTATAAAAATAGTGCACTGCCAACAGGATGTAGGAATTTCCAAAGGATGACACGAAGGACCCATGAAATCTATCCCCTATACATCAATCAGTTCCATTTCCAGCATGTTCTGTTGTGGCATCTCATTTTTCCAGGAAATGTTTCCTGTCCTTTGGCATCTGTCACAACCCTTGACAAATTCGTGTGCATCTCTGAACAGGGAAGGCCAATTAAGTCCAGCTTGCAGAACCTTGATTGTCGTCCTTTGACCACGGAAATGTCCACCATATGGAGAGCTGTGGCATCTGTGCAGCACTTCTGCAAATTCGGGTTCTAGAATACATCTTCTGATCAATTGGTCTGCACATCCTTTGAATAGGTAAGGTTCATCCCACAGGTAGAGTTGAGCATCATGAAGGAATCTTTTGCGCTGTTGAGGAGTGAAATCTGTAGGAATAACACCAGCAGCTACAAAATTAGCAAAATCTGCAAACAAAGGTCTGTTACATGTCACTCCCATGAGTGTGCCTGTCACTCGCCAGAGTGACTCATCAGGGAATTTTCTGAAATTGAAGTTGTATCTTTTGGAATCTCTTCAAGTCTTGACAGATAGTCTGCCACTTGATTTTCAGCACCCTTTCTGTCCCTTATCTCCAAATCAAATTCCTGTAACAGTAACACAATCGAATCAATCTGGGCTTAGATTCTTTTTTACTGATTAAATACCTGATGACAGCATGGTCTGTATAGACTATGACTTTCATTCCTAGCAAATAAGCTCGGAATTTGTCAAATGCAAATACAATTGCCCGCATTTCCTTCTTTGTAGTGGTGTAGTTGACTTGTGCAGGATTGAGAGTTTTACTAGCATAGTAAACCACATGCAGCACCTTATTCCTTCTCTGCCCAAGTGAACACCAATTGCAAAATCACTAGCATCACACATTAGTTCGAAAGGCTGTGACCAATCTGGTGTAATGATTACAAGTGCAGAGATGAGTTTCCTTTTCAGTTCAGTAAATGCATTTAGAAAGGATTCATAAAAAATAAAAGCAGTGTCTTTTTCAAGCAAGTTGCACAATGGTTTAGAAATTTTTGAAAAATCCTTAAGTAACCTCCTGTAAAAGCCGGCATGGCCTAGGAAACTCCTTACTCCCCTGACTGTGGTTGGTGGGCTGAGCCTCTCTATGGCTTCAGTTTTTTTCTTGTCCACTTCAATTCCTTCCTGTGAGATCTTATGCCCCAAGACAATCTCCTTAGTTACCATAAAATGGCACTTCTCCCAATTGAGAACTAAGTTTGATTCTATGCATCTCTTTAGTATCAGTTCAAGATTGTCCAGGCATGCATCAAACGACTTACCAAAGACTAAGAAGTCATCCATAAAGATCTCAATTATATCTTCCACCATATCAGAGAAAATGGCCATCATACATTTTTGAAATGTTGCAGGTGCATTGCACAGTCCAAATGGCATTCTCTTAAAGGCAAATGTGCCATAGGGACAGGTGAACGTTGTCTTTTCTTGATCATCAGGATCTATAGCAATCTGGTTGTAGCCTGAAAAATAATCACGGAAACAGTAATACATGAATCCAGCCAATCTATCTAACATTTGATCAATACAAGGAAGTGGAAAGTGGTCTTTTCTGGTAGCTTTATTAAGCTTTCTGTAGTCCATGCACACTCTCCACGCATTATTCAGCCTTGTAGGGATCAACTCCTGGAGATCATTCTTTATTACTGTGATTCCTCCCTTCTTGCGCACGCATTGAACTGGACTCACCCACTTACTGTCAGATATTGGGAAGATGATTCCAGCGTCTAGTAGCTTAATAATTTCCTCTTTTACCACTTCTTTCATGACTGGGTTGAGCCTTCTTTGTCCTTCAATGGTTTGCTTGGCATCATCTTCAAGTACAATCTTGTGCATACATATGGAAGGACTGATGCCCTTAATGTCTGCAATTGACCATCCAATGGCTTCCTTGTGCAACCTCAGCACCCTTAGCAACTTATCATCTTCAGTACCTGTAAGCATTGAAGAAATAATCACAGGTAAACTGTTACTTGCTCCAATATAGGCATATTTCAAATGAGAGGACAGAGGATTAAGTTCCAGAGAAGGTGGTTCTTCAATTGAAGGCTTGAGGCATTTTCCTTCCTTAGTCATGTCCAACAGCTCAAAGGGTTGTTGTTTGGGATGCCACTTGGGGGAGTGGTTCAAGTAACTCAGGCAAGTGAGCCTGTACTCATCCTCCCCTTCCTATTCTTCACTGCTGTCTGGACAGAAGAGTTGCTTAAGGAGTTCATCTTGTAGCACTTCTTCTGCCACTGCTTCTTCCACTGCTTCTTCCACTTCTACACTCTTCACCGTATAGCAGTTATGAACTTCGGCAGGATATCTCATGTTTTTGAAGATGTTGAAGGTAACTTTCTCCCCATCAAAGGGCAGTGTGATTTCTCTTTTTTTCACCTTAATGATTGCATCACTTGTGGCAAGAAAAGGTCTCCCCAAGATGATGGGCACATCCCTGTCTTCTTTCATGTCCAAAACCACAAAGTCCGTTGGGTAAACAAAATTCCTAACCATCACAAGAACATCATGTAAAATTCTCTTTGGATAGGTCAGTGACCTGTCTGCCAACAGCAATGTCATGTTAGTAGGTACCAAAAATTTATCCAGATCAAGCGATTTAAATACGGATAATGGCATGAGATTTATACTTGCACCAAGATCTAGCAATGCTTTTGAAAATTTTCTGATTCCTACAGTGCAAGGAAGAGTGAAACTACCCGGATCTTTTAGTTTAGGTGGCATTATTCTCAGAATAGCTGTACTACATTCTTCATTTAGAGTAATAAAATCAGAATCATGCACTTGTGGTTTATTAGCCACCATATCTTTCAAGTACTTGAAATATTTAGGCCTTTTTTTAAATGCATCAATAAGTGGAACATTAATATGTATGCTTTCCAAATTTTGAATAAACCTGTTGAGCCCTTCATCCACCTTGGCCGTCTTCTGTCTTACTGGATATAGCGGTATTGTATCATGTGGCTTTTGACTTGGTGCTGGGATTTTGATTTCCTCCATTCCAGGTTTTTCCACTGATTGCTCCTGTTCAACCAAATGATCATCATTAGATCTTTCTCAGAAGATGTTTCATTATTACCTGCAGGGTCACTCGCGGGAGTCACTTTTTCACTTGGCTGAGTGAGTTGTTTTCCACTTCTAAGAGTGATAGCCTTTGCTTGCTCTTGATCATTTTCCTTGGGATTGACAATTGTATCACTTGGTAGACTTCCAGATGGTCTTTCAGCATTCTGTTTTGCGATCGGAGCCAGCTGATTTTCCAGACTTTTGCAAGATACAACCAAATTCTTAATTGCATTCTGCAAAGAAATCCATTCATCTTCCCTTGGTATGTATTGCTGATTAGAACGCTGTTGATTCTGATAGTTGGGAGGTTGGTCATCTTGTCTTTGAAATCCTGGGGGTAGAGTAGGCCTCAGATAGTTTCCTTGTTGTGGTGCATTATTCCAGTTGAGGTGCTGCTGATTTCTCCAATTGTTGAAGTTGTTGAATCCTCCCGCATTGCCCTGCCTAACAAACTGGACAGTCTCCATTTTGGAGGGTCAGTGATCCAAATTGTGAGATCCATCACATAACACACATACTTCAGCCTTGAGTTTGGACAGCTCACTCCTTAGTTTGACATCTCATTCATCATGACAGCCATCTGTGCTTGCAAGTGTGTACTGGGGTCAAGTTCCATCACTCCTGGCTGCTTT